ATAATAATCCCAATGGGGGAGAAAATAATGGAAAAAAAATATAGAACACAAGTTGCTAGAAAGTTATCAGGCACTAATACACTACAAACTAATCAACTACAGTAAATATGTCATATTTAACATATTTGCATTTTTAGCATGTTTCTAATTGAGTTTATGACTAAAGGATATCTTTGAGATATCTGAACAATATCTGCATATTTATAATGCATGCATCTTTTCAACAGAGATAGCTAAAAAGTGAATTTGCTTCACATTTGTACTATTTATTAATCACTTCATGTTGTGCAGTTGGAATTATTTTTTTGGTTGTTTTGCACCTTCTTCATAAAAAAAATAAACATTACTAATAGTTTTTTGTAAAGTTGATAAGCTAGATTTCAAAATAAGCTTAATAAAATAAAAAAAATAAAAAAAAATGTATATATTAATTAATAAGTTAAACTTAACTTTTGTTGATAGGTTGCTGTGATAATGCTTAATGTCCCTCTGAAGTTGCTAAGACTTTTGATGCACATCCTACTGAAATGGAATAATAAGTAGAGGGATTTCATTTTGTGCATCATTCTCTTATAGCAAACTAATGGTAAGCGGAGTGTGGTTAATATATGTGGTATACAAAATGTATGTGTGTATATGTTTATGATGTTTTATCTAATTTTATTTATAAAGTAGCTAAAATATTATTGAAATGTAATTATAATTCAATTTAAATATAATTAAATGCATTTTTAAATGTTTAACTTGAATTTAAAATTTTATTTTTGATTTATTTTAAAATGTATTCAAAATGGTATTTGTTATTCAAAATTTTGTTTTATTTTATTTTTATTTATTCATTTATTTACTTTTTGTGCTTTTGTTTTGTTTCGTTTCGTTCGTTTTGTTTTGTTTTGTTCAGCCCTTACTGATTTTGAGGTTTAAAAACATTTTATATTAAAAGTTGTTGTTCTAAAACAAAAATTTCAGGAAAATGTTTTCCAAACAAAGTCTCTGAGGAATATCAAGAAAATAAATAGCTTTTAATTTAAAGTAGAATTTCACTCGAAATTTAAAAACACAATTTTCTAAAAGTCCTACTCCTTGATAAATTTAATGCATCCTTGTTAAATAAAAATTATAAAGATATTACTGAACCCAAACTTAAAATATATTCTAAATATTCAAATTTTTTAAGTTAATTAGCTAGATTTTAAAATAAGCTTAATAAAATATTTTTACATTTTTTTATATATTAATAATTTAAACTTAGCTTTTGTTGATAGGTTGCTGTGATAATGCTTAAAGTTCCTGTGAAGTTGCTGAGACTTTTGAAAAGGAATATTGAGTAAAGGGCTTTTTTGTGCATCCTTCCCTCAACGGTATGGAGCATAGTTAAGAATATTAACTGTAAAAACTGACACCAGCGGAAAAGAACTGACACTCCAAATGCGGAAGCAAATGGTTAGACTTTGATTCAAGATTACCAAAACTAACATTAGATTTTCTAAGGCTTAATTGATCACTTAAATAATAACAATTTGCACTACAAAAATAAACACTGTACATTTTAATTTCACATGGACTTTAAATGGATAGTTTACCAAAAAAATTAAGTAATAAAAGTTGGACGTATTTCCATGTTCTTGCATAGTGAGATGACAGAAAACACAGTGAGCGTTACGCATGCCTTAATGTGTATAGTACACAAAAACCCATCATTCATTCACACAGACACGAAGAACATGGGCTTCCTATATTGTAGTTTAGGCTTTTTCACCAAAGCTCAAATTGGGTTTTGATTTGTGTACACTGGTTTACCATAAGTTTACCCCAAAAAAATCCCAAATGCTGTGACATTTCTCCTTATAGTAATCCTTTTTTTACTGGATTTACACATTTGCTGCATTGGTTTTAGCAGCTTATAACCACTGCCATGGTTCCATGCTTCAAAAAGCAGTTGCACATCTAGTAAAGTTTGTACAGAATCTATTTTACTAATGGCATTCATTTTTTTAAATGAGTATATGTCTCAGTCAAACAGAATTGAGCTTTATCTTTTCAATTTAAATCAGATTATCCTTCATTTAAACATACTACAGTATTTGCACTGAACAGGCCGGGGAATAATATATTGAAGAAAACCTATATTTGATTACCAGTGGATGACTAAGATGCATTTTAGAGTTAGTGTAGTGGAACTTCAATATGGACGCCCTCCAGATATTGACCATGTCTCTCTTAAAAGTACACACGGCTTTTAGTAGGCGCTACTTACACAAGACTCGGTAGATGCTCTCTTCTCCTCTGGCAGTTTTGCAATACTTTTGATGGCTGCCACCGGTTCTTTTCCCACTCTAAATTATTGATGGATCATGGAATAAGTGCTCCTGCGATGCTCCCTTTTAAGTACAAAGATGTAGAAGACAGTCCAATGTGTAATCCATTTCTGTTTGAGCTAACCGATCAAGTTATCGATTGTTGAATGCCACTTTAAAAGATTCAGAGACAGAGGAAAATGTGACAAAATTCTGCAGTGAGCCTTTCTGCGGTTGTTCTATTACCTCCAGCATCTTTCCCTGGTGTCTGATGTGAGAGTATTTCCCCCCAGTAAACTAAAAAGAATGAGGAAAAGATTGATGTAGTCTGTAAAAAGGAATTGATGATGCAATATCTCTTTTAACTGAAGAAAGAGACTGTTAATGGTCCACTAATCTTGTCTGGCGGTCATATATTAGTAGTTGAATTCTGCGATGCTGGGAAATATTTCATGTAAAACTGGAATGCAAGGTTTAACCTTAAACTCCTCTGTAAGAAAAGCAAAATGTAAACTCCTGTGATTATATATAGACGCATATTTATTTAAAAGCAGCAGCACCCCTGATTATGAAGAAACTTTTGATCACAGAATCAAATGAGAGAAACGAGTCTCCTTGTATACAGTATGTACTATATATGAGCCCAGATGAGAAGAGCTGGGAGTGATTTGTGACTAGGGATTTTTTATTTTATCTTAGAATATATATATATATATATATATATATATATATATATTATTTATGGCACATATACTACTGGGGAGGCATGGGGGCTCAGAGCTTAGCACTGTCAACAGCAAGAAGGTCTGGTTCAAGTACCGGCTGGGCCAGTTGGTATTTCTGTGTGAAGTTGGCTTGGGTTTCCTCCGGGTGCTCACAGTCCAAAGACATGCACTACATATGAATTCAATAAACTAAATTGGTCGTAGTGTACGTGTCATAAAGAGAGTGTATGAGTGTTTCTCTCATTATGAGTCTTTATGAGTGCAGCTGCAAGGGCATTCACTGCGTAAAACATATGATGAATAAATTGGCGGTTCATTCCACTGTGGTGACCCCTGATGAATTAAAGGACTAAGCCGAAATGAAAAAGAATGAAAGAAATTGGCCATAGTGTATGAGTGTTTCCCAGTACTGGGTTGCAGCTGAAAAGGCATCTACTGCGTTAAAAACATATGCTGGAATAGTTGGCAGGTCATTCTGCTGTGGCGACCCCTGATAAACGAGGGACTAAGACAAAGGAAAATGAATGAATAAACTTTTTCAAAAATACTGTGTCTATTTAAGCAACTATTCGCATCAGCCTTTTTCAACATGCATTTTTCAAGTAATGTCAACTCGATTTGATCCAGTTTACTACTTATTTTTATGATTGTCAAATCTGCTTTTTAAGTACAATGTACTCGTTTCTTGTTATAAGCGATGTTCTTGGTTGGCTTTTGTTCAGTTAAATGTGTGTTTTTACAACCAACATTTTATATTTTTCAACCTATAGCTTTAAGTTTATCAAACCTTTTTTTAAGTAGCGTTATAATGCAATGATGTATATTACAATATGTATATTAAATAATTATTTATTGAATTAATATTAATTTGTTAAACTGCAAAAGGTTACTTTTTATGTCATATACTAAAATATGATAGCTCCCCTTATAATAATAAATATTACTGCATTAATATTACAAATATGGAGATTCTGTGTATAGTGTATACTATTCTAGGGAAAAAATCTGATTCTGAATGTATTTACTTTATTTTAAATGTCATTCAGTGATTTATTAAATTATATCTACAATTTTAATTGTAACAATAATACATGATTGTTTAGTTCAAATGGAAGATTTTGTTTTAAAATAATACTTTTTTTGTATAATCAATTCTCTCAATTCTCTCTAAATGATTCTCTTTTTTTCTTACTTCAAACATTAGTAATATTTTGTGAAGCTAATAGTCATAATCAGTCAAATGATGTCCTGCGTGAAGTCCCACTAGATTTACATGAGGTAATTGCACACATTTGTCCAAAGATGGCACTGTCTAGCAAAATTAGTACTGGGCTTGCATTTCCCTCACACTTACAGCTGCTTGTAAAATAAGGGACAATAAAATATATTTACTTGTAAATGGATTGTACATATTGTAAGGGAGGTTTTTATTATGCACACCAGACAAAACAAAAATAAAAGGCTGCATTCTTATAAAATTTAAATTGTTAAGCGATATAAGTTTGTGGACTTCATAAAACAAAACCTTTCTTCTTGCATTTTTGAAGTTGCTTATACATTTAAAAACTCTATTTACATGCTATTATTTAAAGATTGTTTTTCCATCCTTTACTGTATGTGGTGCAAAAAAAAGAGATGCTGTTAATTGCAAACAGCTATTTTATGCAAACAATTAATTACTCCTATTAGTGTAGTTGCAGCTGGAAAGCCACATAATGCCATTATAGGAGACTTTGCATGCAGTGCCACATATCGTCTGCACAATACAGATGCGCGGCGAGTCACGCATTGCCCAGCTAAAATGTTTTTTTTTTTTTTTCAAAAGCTTATGCGAATGCGCATTTCTAATTATAGCCACAGTTGTGCATTTTGAAAAATGATTATCGTTCAGTGCATGAAACAGTTAAAGCATGCGACATGCAAATGGAGCCGGCCGTAAGTGAGTGCTAGCACAGGGGGCTGGGTTTAAACGCGCTGCTACTGTAACGCTGCTGGGCTCCGGTGCCTGTGCCAGTCTCGCGTAAAACCTTCACAGACGAGCAATGAGCGCGTGCATGACGGTCTGACGGAGAGCTGCTGATGAAAAGGCGTGATGTCAAGCCGCTGTCAGTTTCACAGGACTGTGGGAATGTGCCGTGCGCTTGGCAATGCGCGCTCGTGAATGACCATCTTCCGGCGTTGACGGTAAATTTTTGCTGCATAGATCAGTTACCTGAAGCCGCGGCGGCGTCCGTTCATTCATCGTCTCGCACGCGAGAATTCTTCGAGGAATTGTGAGAAATTTATTGAAGGGTGCTGCTCTAGCTTTGAAGACTCGGCATTCGCATTCGGATGTGGATCTATCTGTCAAAACTGAGCTGAACGCAGAGGCATCTTTTAAGTGCAACATTAGAGACCATCCCCAGCTTTCTTCGGGATTGTAGGTGAGTGGACAAACGTGCTTCATGAATTCATTTCAGCCCAGAGATGCTTTACGTGAGAGATGTGGCCACGAATACTAATGTGTTCTGTGCGGTGTGTTAGATTGAATGAGGAGAAAAATCAGAGCAATTCTAGTTATATGGACTCAATTGCTCATAAATCGCAAAGAAGTTGTGGTTTACGAGCTGTTTTAATTAGGATAATGGGAATTAATTTGGGGGCGTTTGCATTATGTAGGGATGCTGATGCTGGTACTGTAGTATCAATATTGGGTTTACTTGAAAACAAATAACCTTTTGCTCAATGTCAACTTATTCCACTTAATTTCCAAGTTGTTAATGATAGGCTAATGATTTTGAGAATGGATTGCAATTTTGCACTAGCTCCATCTATGCTATCAGAATCAAAGATGAAAATCCTGTTTTAACTTATTCTCGTTCGTAAAGCCTACTTTTCGGAACCTGCTGCGTTTAATATCAATTAACCTTGTTTTAGTCATTCAGTATACGCTTATTATTTAAAGTTATTACCCCATACCTCTACATTCAGCGATCTTATCTGCTGCATACTCGTGTTCCGAATTTTCGCTGTCATTTCGAACAGGCATTGACTTCCATTTACGAGTAACCCGGTCACATATTCAGTTTTGTGGGACGCTGTCAAAGAAATTGATACACGTTCAGAATGTGAAACTGATTGTTGCGGAGAGCTCATAATTCAAAGCTCTCGCTCTCTCAGTCTCACCTCAAACTCCGCTCCGTTCATCTGGACCACAGCAGATGCACTCACAAATCTTCATTTCTCCACTCACACAGCTCTGACATCGACTCTAAAGAAAATAAATGCTGCTTTAAGTAGAAAATCGGCCAGCATTTGCATGAGAATCACCGGCATCTGCTATGAAGGACAGGGAAGATATTAATCGGTCTGACTAACACAATCAAACGGCGCTTTCAGTGAGGAAGATGAGGTGAATTCATCTCGAGCGTGACCTCTTCACATCATCGTTTTTATCTCCGTGTTGAAGCGAAACAGCGGTTTGACCTGAGACGGCGTGTCGGCAGGGAGAAAACGGCTCATTCATGAACTGAAAAGCAGAGCAGTGCTACTGAAAACGACTGAATTAATCGAGTTTCAAGGAAAATGAGATCTATATTCTATCCATAATCTAACGGAAGCACCGCGAGTGTGCTTTTATATGTTTCAAGGGCGTTTTCAAACATTTCAGTATCCACAAAAGTTAGGGTACAAGTTCACCGGTGTACCAAATTAACGCTCACAAAAACCGCGTTCGCCTGAGGGTAACCATAGCAACAGTGGCTGCTCGAACACTTTCCATTAAGACCGGCCGGTACAAAGACGGTAATAGTCAACACATTATAGATTTGGTTGTTTTACACTTCACATGTAATCACAAAAAGGTGTCTAGCTCATCAAGATATTTATGGTTACTATTAATGACATAAAAAAACAAAAACAAATCAGCTTTAAAGCTAAATAAGGCTATTTTAGAATCACCTGGCTACAGGGGCATAGATGATATTTTAAAAGTGGGGGGACAGCTAAATGAGATCTGAAAGTTTAGTTTATTAATCAGCTGTTATAAATAGTCTGTGTCTAAGAGTGGACCCCTTGGTTGCTACACCGCTGCCCGGCTAGTTTTATAGAAACTGCACACAACATTATTACTAGCATAGCTTAATAAAGTAAATTAACACTACTTTGCTCTGCTTTTCCGATAAGCTATGGCAGGGGTGCCCAAACGTTTTTGTATGAAGGATCAAAAACCAAATATCATTGAGAGCCGTGGGCCGAAGTTAAATATGCCAAACTAGCCTATATTACATTAAAGTTGCTGTAGGTAATGTCCTATTTCTTCATAATATTTCAAAATTAATAGAAAACTTTACTTTAAATCATATTAACTAATGGAGTATACATTTTTAAATGATCATTTATTGCAATAAGTACAAACAATCACATTTATAGCACAGTGGAGCTCAATGCTGATAGTCAAGCAGAATCTGCCTCTGACTTGATTTGCTCACCAAAGTCTCTGCATTGTCAATGACAGTAGAACATTTAAACAATATCAGATTAATTTCCACCATTTAATTGAAACATTAAATTTCAGTTAGCTTTTATCTATAATTAAAACAAACAAAGGGTTACATTAAACCTGAGTTGACAATGTCTAAATCATCCCCATCACTCTCTCTCTCTCTTCTCAGATGGGATGGCGGGCCAACTTAAAGGTTACCTTGGGCAAACTTTGGCCCCCAGGCTCTAGTTTAGGCTTCACTGAAATAGGGAAACTTAATTGTAACAGACACTACCATTTGATTGTCTTCAAGTACCACTAATTTGTCTGATTGCTCTTACTGAGCAATGAGGCCCCTTTGAAAATGACTGTGAATAGGCTTTATTAATGTGTATGACATAATAGAAGTTTCTGCGCATTATATATCATGTAGTCTAAGTGAATTTCTCTTTGCTTAGCTTTTGTTTCATAACCCTTTTCAGAGTTATTGCATCTTTGGCTGCCTGACTGTCCATTTCGGTTGTAATCCTGTAAAGTAAACAGATGATCTCCTATTTTTTTCAGTATACATTCCACATTTAATCCACTGGCATTCTGCTAGTCTTGTGAGTCTAGCCAGATATGATGATGTCATGCATGCATGTTTTAAAAAAGCAGCATTTTCAGTGCCGCTAATCAGCATGTGTTATATGTAATGTGAATTAGTAATGCAAAATAAATGAATAATCAAGCAAGTGATTCGTTTCCCACAATGATACCATTGCCATGTTTTGCCGAGGCTGTGTGGATTCTTTTTTAAGTTTCTGACTTGATTATTTAACCAAAGTACAATTCACACTGCTGTGTAAAGGCCCCCTGCAGTGTCCCATAAGCCAGTGGTTTAAACATTGCTTATCTGAAAGCATTGTCACTTGTGTAGGTTTGACTCCCCTATGCATGGTAGAGTGTGATTACATTCTGTATGTTGTTCTGCTCACTGCGAGGCTTTGTAGTTTGTTCTCTTTGATGAGGCGCTGAGAGACAGAGGAGGCTGTAGAGCATCTCCAGATCACAGGCTCTTTAATCAATAAGGTTAACTACACAAAGCCAAGAGGACAAGTCTCCACTGGGTGCACACCCATCAACTTTACCTGCTTCCTTCTTTCCTTTACCTGACCAGATTCATGCAATTTGAATCAGATTCGTGAAGTGAATCAAAAGCCATCCTTTTTATTCCTCATAGCGTGAGCTTCCAAAGTAAGATTTGCACGCCAGTTAGGATTGTCAAAAAGCCTCTTGTCTTCTTGCGTATAGGGTCCCATGCTATTGATTTGATTATTTCAGTCAGGTGCATTAAGCGTTTCCTGAAGGGTAATTGGAGGGTATTATGTGCTTAAAGGGGGTTTGTTCCTCTTCTTTAGCCGCTGGCTCTCAGATAGATGTATACGTTTGAGGAGAAGCTAAGGGTCGAAACTCAATGGGGTGGCCACAAGAGACCCATGCTGAGTGCTTATCCTGCTTGCCCCAGTTAAATGCCTTGCTCAAGTGTGTTAGTTTTGGGGCCAATTTGGATTTGTGCTTGTATCTTCTTGGCTCGGGTTTTGAGGTCAGAGAGATTACCTTATCAGTACGCTCAGAGGAGACTCTGCAGCTATGAAAACAGCAATGTAAAGATCCTAAAGTATGGGCTATCTCATCATTCATCTCTCCCATTGTCCACCAGACAGCTAGTGTTTGCAGTAGAGCTAGTCTTTCTCGGGCTTTGACTGAATGTTAGGAGGAATGCTTGATGGATAGTCATGACCAACCCCCCTGGAAACCTCAGTATAGGCCCACATAGTTCAGTAGCACCATCTATTGATGAGAACATTGAAGCAATAGACCACAATGTCTGAACTGACCTAGGGTCCCATAGTGGATTACACAAAGACAGAGGGGCATTTGATGTGTTGTGAGTGTCTATGCATCAATGCTTTAAGAAATCAACAAGTCAATCTTACGATGGTGCCAGTCATTCTGACAACACTTTCAGTTTTATGTAACATTTTATCTCATCACTCACCTCTCTTATTGTCCACCAGGTATTTAGATTTTTTTGTGTGTGGAAAAGTTCCTTTTTTTCTAGCTTTCACTGAATGTTTGGTTATATTCTTGAAGGATAATCAATCCCCTTGCCACCTCAGAATGGCTTACCTACTAATGTATACTGTAAATTGTACAACGAAACACAATGTCCGAACTTACACATGGTTCCAGAGCAGTTTACAGTTTGAGGTTCGTGGGTCATTTATGAGACCATGCTCATTTTAGTTGCATGCCGAGTCACCAGCATGCACTACACCTCAAGAGAACCCCCTCTTCTATTCTCTCATGGTGGCATACGGGCTTGCCCCTATTTAGCTTAAGAGATTTTGACAAGTTGCGATGCATGCAGGCGGAATCCTTGACCTATTTCTTAATGAGTGAACAGTACAAATGCATTCGGGGCTGCCTTTGCAGTGCAAGGCTTTCCACCGTCCCCCCACCCCTCGCATACACAGACAGACTCTTGCATGATCATGCCCTGCAGGATGGGCCCTTGTCGAGAGAGTTCATCTGCTTCCTCTGTGCTAGTCTCATGTAATAATGTGTGTGTTCAACATTTGTTTGCTTTAACACATTGATCTCGCATTCTCTTTTGAAGCATTGACTGTTTACATAGTGCTCTCCACTGTCCAACTGTCACAACAAAGATCCCTATCACTCTTGACCCTTCTTGTTTATGTGAAGCGTCCCGCTGCAGCTTTTTAGACGCGTGAATGCATTCAAGTGTACCAAAGCAGAGCCAGATGTGGTTGCAATTGCAATTACTCTCTGAGATTAAAGTTTCGAGCCAGATTTAGAATCACACCGCATAAAAATTGGTATTTACTAGCCAAGTGTTTCTCAACCACGTTGCTGGAGGACCCCCAACGCTGCATGTTTTGGATGTCTCCTTTGTCT